AAATATTTTTTCGAGCATTGAATTTTCTCGTTCTAAGAAAGGCATTTTCATGTCTCAGAGAAAATATGCACTAGACATTTTGCAGGATTCTGGACTTACTGGAGCACACCCAAACAAATTTCCAATGGAACAAAATTTGAAACTCACTCCCACTGACGGAGCATTGTTAGATGATCTCACCAAGTACAGAAGACTAGTTGGACGATTGATTTATCTTACTGTCACTAGGCCTGACATAGTTTTTTCAGTTCGTACATTGAGTCAATTCATGCATGAGCCTCGTAAAACTCATTGAGATGCAGCTTTACGAATTCTCAGGTACATCAAGGGTACTCCTGGTCAAGTTTTGTTATTCCATGTCTTTGACAATCTTTAGTTAAAGGCTTTTTGTGATTCCGATTGGGGAGGTTGTCGTGACACAAAAAGGTCAGTTACAAGATATTGTGTTTTTCTTGGAAATTCTCTCATCTCATGGAAATCCAAGAAACAAGACAATGTTTCTCGATCATCTGCAGAATTCGAATATCGAGCTATGGCCAACACATGTTTAGAGTTAACTTGGCTACGCTATATTTTGTAGGATTTAAAAGTTCCGCAAAAGGCTCCCACATCATTGTTTTGTGACAATCAAGCTGCCCTATATATTGTAGCTAATCCTGTTTTTCATGAGCAAAGGAAGCATATTGAAATTGATTGTCACATCATTTGAGAAAAACTGCAAGCTGGAATGATTATTTCCTCACATGTACCTACATGTTTCCAGTTAATAGATTTATTTACAAAAAGATCAATTTGCGACACTACGCGACAAGTTGGGAGTTCATAATATTCACTCTCCAACTTAAGGGGGGAGTATTAAGAAATATCGTGTAATATATTTTGTAATATATTTATCTAATATGGTTTAAATCAAATCCCACCAAAAGAGGGATACGATTTTCTAGGACCTTGATGTAAGGTTAATTGGTTGACCCAATGATGTATATATTGTACTGTAAAGTTGATCAATAATACATACGAAATCATTCAGTCTGCTACTTTCCATTTCTTTGCCATTTAGCCATTTTAATATTCAGCCTTTTTTAAGATATGGATATGAAATTTCCATACCAGCCATGTTAATATCTGGATTTACTATAGTTTACCAATTTCTCTGGAAACGATCTGTAATAAGAATATATTGTTGCAATTCTGCAACTTAAAAAATAGACTACGTAAACCAAACAAATTAGACTACTTGTTTAAATACACATGTTTATACTGGCAATCTATCTGCAAATGTACATATATTTAGTAAATAATCGTGATCATTTACGTCAATCTTAAATAATATAAAAATTAAATTTACAAATTACCGTGAGTTCAAAATGTAAGGTTTCACCGTTTGGTGTGGTTGGTACCTGAACATTATAACGGGAAACTTAAAATATAAGGTGGGTACATTCAAAAATTCCTCCAAAATTGGAAAGTAATTAACTTAGAAAATCTTGCCATCAAACAGAATTATTTAATTAACCAATACGGTCATTGCTGTTGAGATTTGTTCGGGAGGTTCTTAGATTTTCTAAAGTTATAAGGAATTTATGGTCAGATTTTCTTACGAAATAGGAAGGGAAAAAAAAAGGAAGGAATTAGGGTTGATGCACCTCTCCCCATATTATTGGGTGTCCCTGAAGGTAGACACCCTCTCCATATGTTCTACAAATAGAGGCATAAGCACAGAAGAGGAGACCCAACTTTGAGACTTCAGAGAGAAAGAGAAGAGAGCCGCATCAAAAACTCGGACAAATTAATAGCTGTGTATTGTTAGAGAAACAGAGATGACAATATGCGGCACGGAGAACCCTACTTCCAATAACAAAACCTCCCATGTGTCCCCGGCCAATTGTAACGGCATGAAACTGCCTTGTTTTTCATCCGACCATGTCCTCAATCTCGAACAGTAAGTTCTCTCCTTAGCTTCTTTATTCCAAGTAGAAAGGATGCAACATCTTGTTATGTACTGTAGGTTAAGGTCGAGAACCTTTTAAAGCTTAGTTCTTGATTTTCACGTTTGGATTTTGAATACGAATGTTTTACAATGCATTATTCGTTTTTTTTTTTCTTCTATAAAACTATATTTTCCAACAACTGAGTTCTGGTTTGTTTACTAATTAGGATAACATGCAATCGACATTAATGGTGTTTCCGGTTTTGGTGATGACAGGGGCGACCCGACAGTGTTCGAGTCCTATTGGAGCAAGATGGGGGACAAGTGTACGATGGTGATCTCCGGAAGCGAATTGATGAGCTACATCAGCGATTTCACCAGCGTGTGCTGGTTTTTGGAGCCAGCATTGGAGGCGGCGGTTAGAAGACTTCATCGTACGGTTGGAAACGCCGTCGTGGATGGTGATCGGCATATCGTGGTCGGGACAGGCTCCACTCAGCTCTTTCAGGCTGCGCTGTATGCCCTCACTTCCCCCGGCGGGTCCGAGCCCGTCAGCGTTGTGTCTGCCGCCCCTTACTACTCGGTGAGGCTCTCTATACTCGTTGACATTTGGCAACCTTTTCTTGATTGAATTACAGCCGTTGATTTTGCTGTGTTTTGTTGATCATGTGTGGAACTTGATGTTGGCTTTGTTATTTTTTTTTTTGTCAACTGCAAAAGATCAACAGAATGCTGCTTTAGCTTCACTGTTTATAAATTATATCAAATCAAGCGTGCTTTCAGAGGTTGTGCTAGCTATGTTCAAAGGCCGATTAAATTGGGCCTGTTGAGATTTCTTCTATTATAATATATGTGATATGTTACGTTATTTAACGATCAATCTTGATTACTCAATTTATGTTAATAGTTTTACGTCATAACATGTTAAATTCACATGTATACAATATATGAGATGAGGCAATCAATCTAGATCACAAAGTTTTATATTAGGCAGTTTAATTAGACTTAATAGTTTTAAACATAACATGTCAAGTCTGACGGACTAAGAAAACTTACGGCGTCCACATATATTTATGTCATAGTTTTCCCTTGGCATGCATGCTGCGAAGGTGTTCGAGTTGTGAGGGGTGAAATTACGAGAAGACTGTCGTGGAACATGCAGATGTTCTGCATGGGAAATGCGACAAAGAGGCAAATATGTCTTTTTGAAAACATAACCATGCATGTTTGGGAACATGCAGCAAACATATGCACGTAGCCCTGTGTTTTGAAACCCTTGGATCGAAATTAAACATAGTAACATGGGCATGTCTTGTTTATTGTTAACCACCTCTTCCACTCAATATAACTTTGATTTTTACTTCTATTAAACTCAATATAACTTTGATTTTTACTTCTAGAACATTATTAACTAAGTTGTAACAAATATTTACTTATTTGTTGCAGTCATATCCGGATGAGACAGACTATCTTCGTTCTGCCCTGTACAAATGGACAGGCGACGCTTATGCCTTTAACAAAACTGGACATGGACCTTACATTGAGGTGGTCAACGCCCCAAACAACCCCGATGGTACTCTCCGAGAGGCTGTCGTAAAGAACAGAGGTGATCAAGGGAAGCTCATTCATGACCTGGCCTACTATTGGCCTCAGTACACCCCAATTACTCGTCCGGCCGATCATGACATCATGTACTTCACATTCTCCAAAAGCACCGGACATGCCGGTTCTCGCATTGGGTAAGGAGCCATTATTGACACTCAAAAAAATATATAAAAGTCATTAAGAACTCGTTAAAGTGCAATATCTTACTAATATCTTTCAAACGGAATTTGTTCAATTTGGTTTTGTTTTGTATGATCAGATGGGCCATTGTTAAGGACAAAGAGGTTGCTAGAAAGATGTCAAAGTTTGTAGAGCTGAGTTCACTTGGTGTGTCCAAGGATTCGCAGCAACGAGCTGCAAAGATAATGGGAGTGATCTGCGACGGCTATGAGAACTGCAAGTCCACTGACAAATCTGCGCTCTTCTTCGACCACTGCCATCAAATAATGGGGAACAGATGGGAGAGGTTAAGAAAAGTGGTCGAGCAAAGTGAAGTTTTCAGCTTACCCAACTACCCCAAAAAGTACTGCATCTTCTCTGGAGACTCCATTGAAACATATCCAGGTAAACCATAATTATTATTCTCTTTTTGCAAAAAGTAACTAATTCGAAACATAATTAGAAACTTATTCTCTTTATTAAAATCATTCTAATTCCGATTTCTGACTTCCCATGTGTTTACTATCACGTGATAAAACAAAATGTGAGTTGTATATCCACGTTAAATTTTTTAATCTAACACCTAATAAAACAGAATTCACATCAACTAACGAGGCTAGTTAATCCTGTACCTATTATTTCTTTCTTTTCTCCGATTCACGATTTCCACATCGACGAAATTATGATATTTATAAAGTTTTGTCTTCTAATATTGGGAATGTTTTTGTACAATGCCAGCATTTGCATGGATGGAGGCCAAGGAGGATGTAGACACAGAGAAGGTTCTGAGAGGGCAGATTAAGGTACAAGGAAGAACAGGGAGGCGCTTTGGGGTTGATCAGAGGTACGTCAGGATTAGCATGCTAAGCAGGGAAGACGTGTTTAACCACTTCTTGGAGAGATTATCAACCATCAAGTCCGTTGCTAATGGTCATTAATTAGCTTAATCTACTACTAAACCACAGCGATCGCACAGTTTTACTCAACTTCTGTATACCTTATACAAGCTACGCAGGCATATTTATTTTAAAAGTAGTTTCTATATCTAATGTAATAGTAAACCCGAGAGCAGTTTATTATCGATAAAGTGAATAATTTTCATCTTATAAATGCATTACGCTTTGAAAAAACCTTATTTCTACCTAATTTTCTTTTAATTTTTACCTCATTTGTTGCGCGATTGGTTCCAAAATTTGGTGCATAAAACCTAAGTAACCATGCCAATAAATGAAATAAAAAATGAATCGAACTGCGGCTTTTTCAATGGGCACAGAAAGACCAATTCGAGTATATGGCCGATGATCAATGGTTGAAACGAGCCCATGTTTCAATACGAATCTCAATCGAAAAAAGAAAAATATGTACCAATTTGGACAGTCTCCAGACAAATAAGAATCGAATAGGAAAAATGACAGCAAAAATCCAAAACCACAATGACGAATCTTAATTCAACGTGCTGAATAAATCTACCTTCCGGTGACGATAAACTTACAACATTGTTAGATAAACCTTCATTATACATGCACAAAAGCAAAGGCCAGATGACTCATTCTCAACAAACGACCGATCGCGGGCAACTGGCTCTCAAAGACGGTCTTTAATCTATCCACCAATTTTGGATTTGAACCATACAAGATCGTACGTGAGAGCAGCGCCTCAGAAAACACCTTGCAGGGGCAACTTTATACCAGTCTTAATTCATACTCGCCAGCCATGGTTATGTATCTCACCCATGGAAGAGCTTGGTATCCGCTTTTTTCAATGATCTTGAGGTAACGAACCTACAAAACCCCAATTTGCTTATAAGAAAACCGCACGATAACAAATTCCTAGCTCTACGATGGCTGATCATTTAACATGTTGACATATGGAATACAAATTCCATCGTTGCTCTGAAATATCAGGTCCTAATACAGGCTTAGGTGCCCTTAACTAAGTTGATTGTAGAAAGAGATCCAGATGTCCCCGAAATAGAGCAAAGCAATCAGGTTCATAAAGGCATACCTGTATTCCAGAAACAGTGAAATATGGTATCTCGAACTTCACACGTATAGGAGCTTTTCTCTCAGGAGTTGATTCTTCAGCTGTTACACTCGGAAGACGAAACTCTGCTCTCAACATGTATTCCTAGACAATTTGGATTAGAAACAAGATCAATAAAAGGGGATAAAGTGCACAGCACGAGGTACAACATAATAATCTTCTTAAACTAGCAATAATACGAGTCCACACCTTGCCTCCGGGAAAAGATCTTATTTTCCAGATAAGCGCATCACTTTCAGGTGCATATGCTGCAGATCCTAATGATGTCCGAACATCGGGGTTGGTGGCATCAGATACCACAGGGATCTCAATCTCAACATTTGTTGCAGTACTGTGCGGTTAAATTTTCATGAATACTAAGGGAATAAACATTAGGATGCCCAAAGCATAAAGAAATTGATTAAAGAACTTTTTTGATACCTACGCTCCTTGAACTGGCTTCTAGCTTTTACCAGAATCTCAATGCGACTTTTTGAATGCCTTTCAATTTGACATTCAACCCAAATTAGAGGCTTAACCTGAAAGGGAAAATGACGACAATTAACTGGAATGAGATAAGCAATAAATAAACCTCCCCTCCCCACTCAATGCGTGCACAGACACACACAAAGAAAAGAAAAAAGCATCAGCAGAACATGAGGGATACCTGTGTACTCAGCCTATATGTCATGAGATCAAAAGCTCCATCAGGTGGTACAAAAGATATTGTCCGGTCATTTTCAAACCGAGCCAAACGAACACACCTAAAACAAATTTTATGATTTAATGTAAGGACTTGCAGGAAGATTAGTTTTATGTAAAATCTAAAACACTTGTAAGACACAAAAGCAGCACTCAGATAAATCGGAAAGCTACATACTGATGAAATTTGATGTCTTCCAAATCAATGGCCTTTCCCTTTGTTGCTCGCCCTTGTGCCTCCAATAACACTCTATCATTTAAGCCAAGCTTACATTCAGGCATACCACTGCAAGCAAAATGGGTAAGTACTAGTTGATAGCTGATACCAGCATATAAAAGAGAAAGGTAGATAGTTAAAAAAGTAAATGGAATTGCTATACATTACTATGCTACAGTAAATTGTTGTGTTCTGGAGAAGAAAAAAAAATTGTACAATAGCAGAGTGTATAAACGAGACCGCTCTGAAGATGTAAAGCTACTATTCATTTCTGCAACTGAGAAAAGAAATTCAGATCCTCTTGTTTTTTTTCAGAGATTTTCTCCAAACCCTGGTTTTCTATCTTTGATCTTTCTGTGCATTGGTTTTTGACTTCGATCAAGTTAATGGCTTCGACGAAACAGAGTACTCAAAAGAGAAATTTTAACTAGGATTTATACCACTGTCCTCATAAACATAGTTTCTTCTTACGAATGGATTATAACTCTAGCATAAACCAAACAAGCTAGCAAATCTTAAACTGACATCTCCAAATGAAAATGGATGCATTCACTTGGCATTTAAAAAGCATATCCAGTGAAACAAGCACAAGTTAGAATGCTAAAGCATAGATGAAAATTCACTGGGTTAGAACGGAAACACACCTTAAATAAGTTCTCATCTTCAATGCACCAACAACATCAGACCTAATGATTTGTCCATTGCTGTTGACTAGTATATTAACACTCTCCACCACATCCAGGAAAACCTAGGTGAAAAAGAAGAAGGAAAGTCATCCAATTGCTGTGGCTTCAAAGAAGAGTGAAAACTCTTCAGTTTTTCCCGAAGCACATACCTCATTCTTCTTGTAACGTATCCCTTCACTTCGCCAAGACACCGCATTTGTTACGGCCATGGGAGGTCTCTGTGTAACTTCCATCCTGTAAGCATCAGTCTTGATAAATTCACTGAGAATCTTGGCTTCAGTATACTGAGGGTAACCAAAGTCCATCATTTCATCGAGCAACTCATACTACAACACAAAAAAACACATCAAATCGCAATGTTTCTCAATCAAAATTAAGCAAAATGACCGGCACAAACATCTCCTTACCACAACCACAAAGTTATCCCTAAGCGATTCTTCTTCTAACTCTTCAAAGTAATGCTTGAACACCTGCCGTCCAATAATCAATTCACTAATTACGCATTTCAAATAAGTGCAGAAACAAATAACAAGAACGAATGAGGAACAAAACTTATCATAATTACCAATAGAGCTTACATCGACTATTCGGTGTAGAAAGAAGAGAAGACTAGCGGCATTGCAGTTCTGCCTGGACGCAGTCATCAAGTAAACATTGTTATGCTGTATAAACAAGTAGCTCACGCCATTATCATGAACAACTGGATCATGAGACTCCGGATCAACCTGAACCGCATCTCAACAAGCATGGAAAGAAAAACATAATGCCACTATCAATTTCTACTCTCACAAAACAGATCAAATCCAAATTTGCAGGGGAATAATTCATCAACAAACGACAATTCAATTTCGTTTCCTTTGTTTTCTCGGCAACCAATCAGTTCTCCAAACCATTACAAGATCAAAAAACGCAGAAATTCTGGAAATTGAGTAAATTTAAGTAAGAAGAACATTTTTTTTTACCTCTTTCTCGATGAGCTTAGTGAAGAAGCGCTCGGCTTGAGCAGCGGAGACGTCGCCGCGGTAGTCGCGCCAGATGAGAACGCGGCCTTTGATGTCTAGGAGGAACAGCGCCGAGACTGCCCCTGCCATGAGATCTGATCGGCGGTTGCAGAAATTGGACGCGATCTGATTCAGATATAGCAGCGGAGTCGATTGGCGTAGTAGTAGATCTGAATCTGAATCTTAGGCGTTAGGGTTCCGTTCGCCGTCTGCTGTTATTGTTGCAGCATCAACCGCCATCTTCAATCTGTCTGAGAGTCTGAAGAAGGAGGAGTCTTGTTTTGGAAATGGAGGTGTTCGCGGTGAATATTTTGCTTATTCCAGACGTTAGAGACCCGCGTCCGTCTCCTTCTTACGACGACGTTTTATGTTAAACTCCAAGGTAATTATACATTTCAAGTTTTCCCCTTCTTACATTAATTTGGAAATGGATAAATAGCGACTCTTATTTAGTGTTTAAAATATTGATATGCAATTTTATAGAAATATCAATGGTCGGTTGTTTGTGATAGAAATTATGAAAATTTGTAATGGAATAGATGTCAGATTTAGTCAAAATTAGAGAAAGTTTCTCCAAAAAGTTCAAAAGTTCGAAATCTGCAATTCTAGCAAAATTTCTATACTAAATCGGTAAATATTGCCGATACTCATTGATTTCATATATCCTGCCGTTATAGGGGTGAAGTTTGCATTTCACCCCTTTTCCATTTGATCCTTAATTTTTCGGATATTTCAAGAGAAATATCAACAATTTCGTAGATATTTTAAACATTGCTCTTATTTATTACATATTAAGGATCATTTTCATATGTTTAGAGCTGAAAATTTGATTATGTCTCACGTATAGTGACGCATAAGACCAACATGTGGATAGTCTGACACTATATCAGAATATGAACATTTAGTTCAAATTAATTAAAAATAAACGAAAATTCTCAGAATTTTTTAAATTATTTTACTAATAAAATGATGCTATCTTCCGACGTGAGATAAATGCTCTCAACAAATAAATTACAAATTTTTACGAGTTACAATAATAACATAAGATGGTTAAAAAGCTGCTATCTTCGATCTGTTAGAAAAGGGGGCAAAATACAACAACAAATCATCTCGAAAAAAAATCACTTGATATATCATGACCTTTCATATAACACAAGAATGATCAATCATTTGGCTTAGGGTTTGGATCATCTTCCACTAAAATTAAATACACCGCTGAAAACCTGGCTGTTGCCACCCAGTGTTGCTTCCCACTCGATCGAAGATGTCGCAATCTGTGAGAGCATCACAACAATCTCCCTCATCTCTGGCCTCTCCACTGCTTCTTCACTCAAACACCATTCCGCAATTTCTGCCATCTGCAACAATAGTAGTGATTTGACTCTGTTTTGAACAAAAATTTTCAACAGACAAGTTACAGGTTGACACGTGTGCTAAAATATTTCGTTATTGTGTCAATGTGTGATTCATCAGAATGACTCCTTACAGTTAAGGAGTTGAGCAATGTTTAAACATTAAAGACAAAGGAGCATGGACTGCGAATAAATGTGTATGAAATCATTAGAGCACCTTGAATTTGTCCTCCATAGGATAGTTTCTTATGAGGTTTCCATCTGTGGCAGCCTCTAAAGCTGCTTCTGGATGATCATCTTGGAACACCTTTTTTATCTGACAAAATGTGCAGCAAATCAATCAAATTCAGATTGTACTAGTGAGTGATATGCATTGGTCTTTCTGTTCAAGATTCGGTTGGAACTTACGACTGTAATTAAGGATTTCATCTTCCCAGGCTCTCGATTGTCACGGAAAAGTGCATGTTGCCCTGTGATCAGCTCTGCTAGTACCACTCCAAATGCGAATACATCTGTTTTGTGAGTCACCTGGAGTTCCTTCACGGATCTTTCATAAACAGACACAGTCAGATATACGAAAAACTGGGACAAGCTTTGCTTCCTTGTGAAGGTAAACCCTAATGAAACTTACTCTGGGGGAAGATAGCCTGGTGTTCCAACCAACCGTGTCGCTATAACATCTTCTTCATTTGTTCTTCCAACAAGCTTTGCCAAACCAAAATCTGCTACCTACAGAAAATGGATTTTTAAGCTACTAATTAAAAGCATGAAGTAATCATATCAATTAGCAGAATTGATATAATAATTCAGTGAACTTCAATAAAAATGGATGGATTCATGTTTTAGGTATACCTTTGCTCTGAGCCCTTCGTCGAGTAGAATGTTACTCGTCTTTATATCGCGGTGCACATATCGCGCTTTTGTGTGGTCATGAATGTATTCAATACCTTTTGCAGTGTCCAGTGCAATTTGTGTTCTTGCAGTCCAAGAAAGTGGCTGGTGACCTGGTTTAATATGTTTGGTTAGCTGCAAATCATTTATCTGCAGTTCAATTAAATCTCCTTGCGTAAACGCTTCACTAAAGATATGTGCGTGCAATGGTTCAAGTACCTTTCAGTAGCGGATTGTGAAGATGTTCGCTCAGCGATCCATTCTGGACATACTCATAGACCAGGTAGAGGTGGTCATCTCCACTGGCATACCCCAAAAGTTCCACCTAAAACAGATATTTTTACACAAGTGATTAATGTACTCGAAGCACTTTTTTTCGCACCATGTTAGAGGTCAACTTATTCAGAAATGATCGATCACTCACAACATTAATGTGATGGATCTTGCATAAGACCTTTAGCTCTGCAAAGAATTCTTTGGTACTATTAGACCTCATCTTCTTTATGGCAACCTCCTGAAAGTTGAACATATACAGCTTAGTTTCGTAACTTTTTTCGGGTAGAAATGGAGAAAACATGTGGGGTTCCTGCCATATACCTTCTTCCTTATTACTCCAAAGAACACGCTACCATATCCACCCTATCCGATTTTCTTAGTTTCATCGAAGTAACTAGTAGCCTCCTCAATCTCCTCAAGGCTAAATATGACCGGTCCGTCTGATTCAAAAACTGCCCCATCTATGAAATCAACAATGTAGATTTACCGTCATGATTAGAAATTTCTCTCTTTTCAGGCATATTAACATGCACAAATTATTGCATTAGAGATGCGGCTGGAGTTTTATCTGACCTTCCATGTTTTCTTTATGAGGCAATTGATTATGCAACGAAAAGGATCAGTGAGGAGCCAAGCTTTTCGAGCCTTTCAAGCTTTTCGATACAGCTTTATCTGGAACTTCCACATTTTGTTCCCGTTTTCTTCTCCGATAACGGATGAAGATCAATGTGCTGATTGAAAGCAATGTCACAGCTAATAAAATTGAAATCAATATTGACCGTCCCTTTGTTCTGGATTATGGAAACAGAATATTCTTCGTGAGCAATTAAATATATGCTTATGTTTTAATCTTGTTACTAATCAGAATTATATATATACCTTCAGAACTCTGCTAAGAGCTAGCTAAGCACTGGTGCGTCCTTTTCGTTTCTCCTTCTACCTTAATCTGGTGTCGTTCGAGTGGGAATGTCCTCGTATAGGTAGCGATACGGAACATTATTATACGTGAGAAAGAAAGGAAAAGCTTCATCAGGTTGCAACGAAGAGCGAATTAACGTTTAATTGTGGTTAGAGTAAGTAACGATGGGGTTAGGCATTAGTTCGTGGGAGCTATGTGCCGGCTAAGAAAAACCATATTTAGAGGCTTTGATGCAAGAAAGTCAATACGACTTTGGGAGGGACGAGAGGGGACGAGAGGGGACGAAATTCTATTATATTGGAGCATGCTGAGGTGTTCCAATTTCCAGGGTTGACCTAAGTCACAATCATAGATTAATAAATACAAAAAATGGGAAATTTAGTTTAGTTAAATTAGCTAGAGCAGTGTACTTCTTTCTTCATATTCACGTTATAATTTTGATCCCAGAATAGTTATATTAGATTATTTTTTAATGTCACTTGAATCATAAAAGAAAAACAAGAAGTAGCACAATAGAAACGCTCTTTCTAAAAAAAAAAGTTAGTTTTAACTTTAACATAGAAAATAAGGAAACTTGTGAAACAAGTATACAGTAAGAAAATAGAAAGAAATCGACTTGTTGACTAATTATAAGAAAATATCAAATACCCTAGACATTTGCTATTTTCCCGCCAAAGTTAGAAAACCTTTGCTACCACTCTTGAGACCGGCAAGGGGGCAATAGAAGAAGCAGAGGTGGAAAACAAAGGGAGTTCCAGAGATCGAAAACATTCCGAAAATTCTTTTTTCGGTGAGTAGATACTTTTGTTCTTAGTTTTGGGAGGTTGAAAATAAGCAAAATGCATCCTCTCGCCAAGGAAGGCAGGCAACCATTCACGATTCACTGGTACGTAGTTCGGCTGTGGCATTTGCAATTAAGAAAAGCATTAGCCAGTAATCACCATTAACCGTATGAATTAACACGAAGACATTATCCGTCGTGTAATGATCAATGGGACAATCTTCTCACCTTATGCATCATCATGGTCATCTTCGTCGTTCCTTGTAGAGATGCAGCTGGAAAAGGCCTCGGAACGGCTTTACATGTAGGGTTTTACAATCGAGGTTGGCCGAAAGTGGAGCAAATTGTGGCTGAAATCGTGTCCAAGGATCACCAGCAAGATTCAAAGCTCCCTGAAGCCCTCATTCGCTTCTTTTCCCATGATTGGTTTGTCAAGGTACGTATAGCATTGTGCTATTTATATCATCTAAACTAACATGCTACACATCTCTCTAATAAAGGTAAGGTCCACCTACATTGAGGCCTACATGTTCGATTCTCGTACATTGAGGCCTACATGTTTAATTTTCTAGATTAGTCTGAGTGTTGCTTTTCGATATAGCTTTATCTGGAACTTCCACATTTTGTTTCGGTTTTCTTCTCCGACAAAGGTTAAGGATCAACGTGTTGATTAAAATCAATTACACAGCTAATAAAATGGCAATCAATATTGACCACTTGTGTCTGAATCTTGGACTCGAAGATTTGCTAAGGCCATGATCAAGATGGGAAATAAATGTTCTCACTCAGAGATGATGGAGAGATAAGGAAAAACTGTAGAACCCTTTAACTAACATTACGATCAATTAGCTTTGTGTAAAAAACAATTGCAAATATATATCCATGTAGCGTATTGAATCCACTCATATTAACGATTGTATATACATATAATATAAAAGAGCCTAACAAATTGTGAAAAAATAACTCTGACCATAATAACCATTCTGGAGCGGGATTGACTTTAGGGTTTTACCGGAAAAAACCATGTTTCTAAACTATTGCAATTTTAACCACCAACAACGAGGCAAAACAGAGGCAAACCTAATTCACTCAGTTGTGTGAAATCATGGAAACTACCAAAACCCCTACCCACGCGGTTTGTGCATTGTATATAATCACAACCCCGTACCATGTCTCCGTCGTGGTTGTGGCAAAAAAGAGAAAGAGAAAAAACAATTCTAGCTAAGGTTGTGGAATTGCAAGTCACAAACAGTCATCGATCCTTCTACCATGGAGATAGGCCCTCGTTTAATTACAGCGGCAGTTTTTGCCGTCACCTTCTGTTCCATGATCACTGTTCCTTGTTCGGCAGATGAAGTGAACAACCCGGGGAATGGGTTGCATGTGGGATTTTACGATCGGAAATGTCCCAATTTGGAGCAAATTGTGACTGACGTTGTGGCCAAGGCTGTAGAGACGGACCAAAAGCTTCCTGCTGGCCTCATTCGCCTCTTTTTCCACGATTGCTTTGTGAAGGTATGTGCTTTTTGCGATACAACTTAACGCTGCTTGATTCCTTACATGTAATAAGCCATTTTCGTCACCTGCAAATTACAATTTTGATTTGTTTGCGATGAAGAATTACTTCTCTAAGATTATTCGTTGATAACAATATTTATTCATGAATGTATAGGGATGCGATGCATCAATTCTGTTGGATTCAACGCCCTCTAACGAGCCGGTAGAGATGCAATCACCGGCCAGCGCTGGAATCCGAGGTATCGAAGTCATTGAAGAGATCAAGGCTAGGCTAGAGCAGGAATGCCCGGAAACCGTCTCCTGTGCCGACATACTAGCCTTTGCTACACGGGAAGCTGTGGCTCTCTCCGGTTTACCCCGTCACCAAGTCCCCGCTGGACGCCGCGACAGTCGCACTTCCCGTGCCTCCGACGTCATTCTTCCTTTTCCCGCAACACCAATGGACGAGATCATAGACTTCTTCTCCAGAAGAAACTTGACCCCCGAGGAAATGGTCGTCTTGTTCGGCGCGCACTCCATCGGCGCCGTCCACTGCAGCTTCTTCGACTATAGGCTGTACAATTTCGCACCAGGTCAGCCGCAAGATCCTTCACTAAACCCAGTGTTTGCGGCTGAGCTGGCTCAACAGTGTCCTGCACCCAACACATTGCCGGCTGAGGAGGCTGAAAACAAGGTTGTCGACTTAGATACCACACCGCTCGTCCTGGACAATCACTACTACACGAACCTGATGCAAGGGAGAGCATTGATGCAATCGGATCAGGCTCTGGCGACGAATCCTCGCACCGGCGCGGAGGTGGCGAAACTGGCTATTAGGTCTGATTCTTGGGCTCGGCAATTTGTTAGGGCCATAATTAAGATGGGGAGAATCAATGTTCTCACTGGAGATGCAGGAGAGATAAGAAAAAATTGTCGGAACTTTAACTAACTCTTAACTAACTAAGATCACATATTTCAGCTCTTAATTTTTAAAGACCAATTGTGGCTTGGCCTGGAGGAAGCTTGTTGTATGTTTATAACAATTAATGTACTTGTTAAATGAGCAAATTGTTGATTGATTTTTCGGTGTAATCATTGCGAAACAAAACGTGGGATTACCAATTCATTTATGTTACAACTGTGTATCTACGATATATTACTCGAATAAAAAAGGAGTTAGTTTAACACACAAAATAAGGAAACTTGTGAAACAAGTAAACAACAAGAAAATAGAAAGCAATCGACTTGTGAACATTTGTTAACTAATTACAGGAAAATATTCCAACAAAAAAAATTAAAATATTTGAGCCCTAAACATTTGCTATATTCCGAAATTTTATTTTTTTCGGTGAGTCGATATTTTTGTTCTTAGTTTTGGGCAGTTTAAAATAAGCAAAATTCCTACTTCTCACTCCAGCATCCTCTGACCGAGGAAGAAAAGCAACCATTAACCGTATTAATTAACGAACACATACACATTATGCTTCGTCTAATGGTCAACGCAACGTACAATCTTCTTCACCTTATGCATCATCATCGTTCCTTGTACAGAGGCAGCAGGAAAAGGCCTCGGGAAAGGCTCAAATGTAGGGTTTTACAATCGCAGTTGCCCGAATGTGGAGCAAATTGTGGTTGACATCGTGTCCAAGGCTCACCAGCAAGATCCAAAGCTCCCCGGTGGGCTTTTTATTCAAGGCTCCCCATCATCCTTAGTGGGTTTTTTTATTCATTCGATGAACCGGAAACTTTATAGGCGCCTCTTTTGGCAACCCTCCTCGTTCAGAGACTTGGAGGACTCTCATTATATGCTACTACAACTCGGTACTTAGAAGTTTCATGATTACTCAGTGACTTGGATTTGTCAAGTTCACAACCGAGAAGCTTTCCTCGCTTGGGAACTAAGGGGAGCACTGTTTGTACCATACTTGACCAATCCCGAAACTACTAAGCACCAGTCAACGTCATACCTTCAAGGACCCACCGAGGGGTTCATGCTGAGACACCCCTGCCGAAGCACAAGAATTTCCCTCCAAACAAGAGATCAATCACAGCACGACGCATGTCAACATCAAAATAAAGCTCACAACATCCCACATCAACCGCAGACAAAAGTTGGAGACTCTCCTCAACTATAAAAGAAGATCATTCTCCTACAAATCCCTAATGTCATTATTGTACTTAAACTAGTTATTTACTAGTTATTAGAACCCACCAAGGATGATTATGTTTGAACCTATGTATTGGTGTAAACCCTTCACAATTAATGAGAACTCTTTTACTCTAGCGTGAACCACGTACATCTTGCGTTTGCTTCCCTATCTCTATCTTTTTACATATTTATCCTCACTAGTGACCGAAGCAACCAAGCGAATATCACAAACTTGACACTTTACGTTCCAAAATCTTTACTTATTTTGTGCATCAACAAATATAAAAGAGCCTAACAAATTGTGAATATACCTAACCAAAATAGCGATGCTGGGGCAGGATCGACTTTAAGGTTTTACCGGAAGAAAAAAAAAAGGACATGTTTCTAGACTATTGCAATTTTAACAACCAACAACGAGGCAAGACAAAGGCGAACCTAATTCAATCAGTTATGTGAAATCATAGAAACTACCAAAACCCCTACACACGCGGTTGTGCATTGTATATAAGCACAACCCGCACCATGTCTCCGTCGTGGTTGTGGCAAACAAGGGAAGGAAAACAAACAATTCTAGCTAAGGTTGTGGCATTGCAAGTCACAGTCATCGATCTTTTACCATGGAGATGGGCCCTTGTTTAATTGCCACGGCAGTTTTTGCCGTCACCTTGTGTTCCATGATCATCATTCCTTGTTCGGCGGACGAGGCGAACAACCCGGGGAATGGGTTGCATGTTGGATTTTACGATCGGAAATGTCCCAATTTGGAGCAAATTGTGACTGACGTTGTGGCCAAGGCTGTAGAGACAGACCAAAAGCTTCCTGCTGGCCTCATTCGCCTCTTCTTCCACGACTGCTTTGTGAAGGTATGTGCCTTTTGTGATACAAGTTAACGTTGTTTGATTCCTTACATGTAATAAGTCATTTTCGTTATCTACAAATCACAGTTTATCATTCATAAAAGTTTCTTCACATGTGAAATTGTGATTTGTTAGCGATGAAGAATTACTTATTTAAAATTGTTCATTGATAACAATTTATTCATGAATGTATAGGGATGCGATGCATCAATTCTGCTGGATGCCACGCCCTCTGACGAACCCGTAGAGATGCAATCACCGGCCAGCGGTGGAATCCGAGGTATCGAAGTCATTGAAGAGATCAAGGCTAGGCTAGAGCAGGAATGCCCGGAAACCGTCTCCTGCGCCGACATACTAGCCTTTGCCACTCGGGAAGCTGTGGCTCTCTCCGGTTTACCCCGTCACCAAGTCCCCGCCGGGCGCCGCGATAGCCGCACATCTCGTGCCTCCGATGTCATTCTTCCTTCTCCCGCAACACCAATGGACGAGATCATAGACTTCTTCTCCAGAAGAAACTTGACCCCTGAGGAAATGGTCGTCTTGTTTGGCGCGCACTCCATCGGGGCCGTCCACTGCAACTTCTTCGATTACAGGCTGTACAATTTCGCACCAGGTATGCCACAAGACCCTTCACTAAACCCAGTGTTTGCGGCTGAGCTGGCTCAACAGTGCCCTGCACCCAACACATTGCCTGCTGAGGAGGCTGAAAACAGGGTTGTTGACTTTGATGCCACACCGCTCGTCCTGGACAATCACTACTACACGAACCTGATGCAAGGGAAAGCATTGATGCAATCGGATCAGGCTCTGGCGACGGATCCTCGCACCGGCTTTGAGGTGGCGAAACTGGCTATTAGGTCTGATTCTTGGGCTCGGCAATTTGTTAGGGCCATAATTAAGATGGGGAGAATCAATGTTCTCACTGGAGATGCAGGAGAGATAAGAAAAAATTGTCGGAACTTTAACTAACTCTAACTAACTAAGATCACATATTTCAGCTCTTAATTTTCAAACACCAATTGTGGCTTGGCCTGGAGGAAGCTTGTTGCATGTTTATAACAATTAAATGTACTTGTTAAATGAACAATTTGTTGATTGATTTTTCGGTGTAATCATCGTGAAACAAAACGTGAGGTTACCAATTCACTGATGTTATAATTCTGTATCTACTATAAAACCCTAGCAACTTCAGTAATGTACGGTAACATTTTGAAAAAAGAGAGGGGAGGATGAACAAGTTTTGGGCGGTAGGTGGTGAAAGCTGGTTCACGGCTGGGGGAACTGTAGAAGAACCGCTTCAGATACTGCGGGTGCAGGGCCATGAACAACTACAGCAGCATATCACCTCCGATTTCACCGATAACTTTCTCCACTTTAAACAACATATCTGTCAATAACAGGGAAAAAGAACGAAACAAGAAACGAATCAACTTTCAAGTGATAGGATATATTATCAAGTAGCTTTTCCGTGACATGGTAGTGCTTAATCGGTTTGAGATACTAGCAACTTCTCAATGTGACGGTGTTCAAATTTTTAGTGTGCATATACATACGCAAACAAAGACATCAACTTAAGTTATAATCTACATGCAAGAACCAGCAAGCTCCAAATTCAGTGAGAAGAAATGAAATATGCATATTCACTAAAATTAGGACAAAGTTGTTTGCTGTAAAGAAAGAACAAAGATCGATATGGCATCAGGCATAACACGTTCGCAAAATGTTAATTTCAGAAGATAACTTACCTTGGAAGGAAGCATCTTCCATATATTTCTGCAAAACAACAAATATTTATGTTAATACATCAGCAGTACGTCAGTAGAACATCAGTAACTAGTATGCAAATGCACTGTTTACAAAGAACGCATTGCAACAAATCCGTGTACTAATAGGCACAAACAACCATTTCGTTATGCTGACTGAGAACAGTAAATCCATTAAACTAACGCGTCAAGAAAAGGTACCGCAATTTGGGATTTGAGAACTTCTTCCTGTGGAGCAGTTGGTTGTGTTGCCATTACTGCATCTTTCAATCAAGGAAAATGATTCATCAGTCGTCACATGGAATCAGAATAAAATTTCCTGTTTACTTTTGTGGCAATCAATCTACCGTGTTCAAATCATCCCCGAATAAGACAAACAAAACTTGAAGGAAGAAACCTACCTTGTTCAATCACAGGGCCACAGTTGCTCAGAAATGAGGCGAAACTTGGAGGCAAGGCTGCAAAGTTGCTCTGAAAGTTATCAATATGCATGGATTCTTGAGTGCGCGAGGATTGACCAGCTGCGCTCTTCAGCAAGCATGGTGAAATTTGAGGCTTATAACTCTGTACAGCTTGATCAGCTTCGTTTTTCAACAAGCTTGGTGATATTTGAGGCATGTAAGTCTGAACAGTTTGATCAGCTTCCTTGTCCAACACACTTGGCGATATGTGAGGTGTACAGGTCTCAACAGAAGTCATAGTAGTCGAGTCCTTGCAAGCCCTGAAAACACAGAATTAACTATCACTACTCTTCGACTTTTCCACTGTGAGGGGAAAATGAAGTTTCAGGAGAAAATAGTTTTGTTTTTACCGACTGTGGGGTCTATTGGAAGAGACCAACCCAGATTGTGATGACATTTCAGGTCCGCAGTCGGTATTAACAGCTTCGTTATCCTTCCCTTCCTGGCAAATCTCCTGACAAATTAGCCATTTAACATCACCATTGCAAGACAAACAAAAAAGTCTTCTATACTGACAATGAGCATCAAACATGTTCCTTTTTTCTTTACGAAATCTAACATTGCAATAACGCAATTAATTTGCCAGAAGTAATGGATTCACCTTTAAAGCATTCATAAACTTCTCGGCCTCAGAGAGAGACAAAAATCGCAGGCCGAATTTTTGGATCTGCAAAGAAGATGCAACACAATGGCAATGTGAGTTTCGAATTATTCCGTCCCCTGTATCATAAACATAACAGATACTGCCTATCATACACAAAGATGAACTACATATCTGAAACAAAGAATGAGCAGCTTGCCTCGCCCGCAGGATCTTTGTAGTTGACAAACACGGCTCTGGTGCCCCTCGCAGGAAATCCAGACGTGCATGAAACCTGAGGCCAGAGAATCTGTAGCTTGGAAACATAGTGCTCCTCCTGAACCATGTCAAATTATAGCAATTCAAAAAGTTGTAACATCTAGTAGAAATAAACATGCTAAATAACTTGAAGAAAAAGGCCTCGTAAATTCTAGATTCGGAAAATTCATGAAGACGTACTCGGACTACTTGATTTTAATGTCCAAAAATAGATAATTAATTAACAAATCACTCTAATTCTACTTCCAGAATTGCGATTATCGGAGGTGTTTGGCCTTGATTTAATGCCGAATAGCGATTATTCAGACCGCTAAGTAATGCTTCCAGTAACCAAACAGCTAGGCCAGAATGAAATGACACAGCGTCCGTACATTTTAGACTAAATTGATCCTAAACACTCGTAATAATATAGAAAATCAAAATCAAAAGAAGTATTCAGGAACATATTTCTAAAAGGATCTGAAAGTTCAACACAAATCTCTCCAATTAAATTCAAATGAAGTCTCAGCGCCGTTTGGATACTAGAATTTCAATTCGTAGTAGTTTATTCACTTTCCCTCAGTTTTCTCAGCAGCTAAACACAAATCAGCAGTCGAAAGAAAATTTCAAAGAGAAAATTGAATGAACAAATCACAAGACGAGAAGTTAACTAATAGAGACCGAGTAGGCTCACCAAAGTCTTTCCAGTGAAACAGACGGTGAGGATGGCGTCGGAGCTAGAGCCATCGCGAGCCAGCTGGAGCTGAGCGGGGGAGGAGGAAGGGATCCAGTTGTTACGCGGCCGTCGCTTTCTGAATTTAGGAGGCAGAGGGACCAGGTCGGGACACGTGGACATCTGAGGAGGGTAGGGGAAGAAGCGAGAGAAGTGGACCTCCCACTGACCTTTAATGGCGGCGCTTGCAGCTGCCGCCGTCGCCGCCAACTCTGCGCTTTCGTTCGGTACCACAACCAGAGAGAGAGAGTCCGCCATTTTTTCCAGACTCTTTCTCTTTGATTTCCGCTTCTTCACTCCGGATTGCTCGTTTGGGGCCATCGCAACGAAATCGGAATTCAAATTTGTGGAGAAACGATCAAGGAAGAAATGAATTTATATGGAAAGACGGACAGGTGGCGCTGTGGGATTGGGGCATTGGTAGACCAAAAGTCGTCACGTCCCGCGCGTTTTTTTATTACCGCGATCAGTTAATCTTGTTTGCCTCTCCTTAACCGTATTTACTTGAGTTTATCTGTCATCAAAATTGGAGCCGGATTGTAATTTTATTACCTGCAAATTTGCAATAGCATTTAGAAAAAAAATTATAAGTATAAATACTTAGAAGAATCATATATTCTTACAATTATTATACTTCATAATGTTAACGAGAATCGCTTAAAAATCTAATTAAAGGGAAAAAAAACCCTTAATTATAATGTAATAACAATGAAATAGTTAATTTTTTTCTTGAAAATAGTATTTTAAGTGTCTAAAACTAGGAGACACAGTTTGGATCTGGAGGACTTTTATGTGAAGAGACCATGTGCAAATTTTTATACAACGATATTTTACATTAGAGACCAGTGGCGAATGCATATTGGGACTTAGATGGTTCAAGACCAATCGTAGTCCAAGAAATATATATGTGAAGATTTTTCGAGTCCCTCTAAATGTTTGATACATGTTATTTTTGTGCTCACCAAGTGTTTGACGAAAAGCCTCTCACATATTATGTCGACAACACTCTTCAAATTCTCTCATTAGCACTCATTAGATTACTTTGACATATGTCAATATTCGTTGACATGTGCACAACTTGATTCGGCCAGTAACAAACTCACAAAGTGTTCAACGAAATGTCTCAGTTAATAAACTAAATATATTTTGCGCATTTCACACACTATTTCTATCTAAAAACTTTGAACCTTTAACAGTAGAACCCCCCAAGATTCGAATTATGGATCCTCCACTGCTAAGGGGTGATGAGATTTCAGCTGAGTTAACAATGGGTCATCCATAATAATTTGTTATTGTACTCACTATACACGGGAGTGAAACTTAAAATTTCTCACTCACAAATGACGAGAAATACTATTAAAATGTAGCACTAGTCACAACCTTAAGAATTAAAATACCTCCAATTGAAACTTTCAACCTAGATCATATCATTAAAAGATAAAATAAAATGAGATGGTTAAAGCCTTCATATACAAATCTTAGAGACAGAGCTCATGAAAAACTAGAGATTCAAATCACCCCCCATTTCACTGATAACTCTCTCCATCTTACTCAACATATCTGGAAAATAACAGGGAAGAAAGAAATAATTAGAAACAAATTAGCATTTCACGCGTCGCAGCAGATCATAACTTACCTTAAAAGGATTCTCATCAGAAAGAAAGAAGAAGGTAAGAAGGTAAGAAGGTAAAAAGTAAAGCTACCTTGGAAGGAAGCATCTCCCCTGTAACTCTGCAGCACAAGCATTTACATTTGTGTTAATACTTCATCAAATGGAATCACATTGTTTTGCTGACTAAGAACATCGTCTATGACGAGAAATTTTGAGGCGTTAGAAATGGTTACCGCGAGTTGGGATATCGCATTGGCTTCCGGTGAAATGACTTCTTGTGTTGCCACTGAGTCATTCAATCAAGGACAATGTTTCAGTTCATCGCATGGAATCAGAACAAATTTTTCGTTGAGTGAAATTTCCATTTATTGCAACGACGAATGTACCTTGTTCAAAAACAGGTTGAGAGTTCCCAAGCCATGAGGTGAAACTTGGAGGCATGACATGGGAGCTGAGATTTACCGCCTCTGATACAGTTGATCGTGCTGCCCGTACATTCAATCGTGGTTAATGATAGTAAATTTGCCGGTTTTCCGCAAAGGCATACACATTCTACCTTGTTCAATTGTCGGAAAGTAAGTAATTTACCTTGTTCAACAGCGTGGTGATAGCCATTCAGCAATGCGGTGAAACCTGGACGAACGACTGGAAAGTTTTGCTGAATGTTATGAATGTGCATCATCTGCTGAGCCTGTGAGTATTGTTGAGCTGCACTGCCGAAGCTTGGCGGTATTTGAGTGGTATAAGTCTGAGCCGGAGCCATGACAAAGTCCGTGCAAACCCTGGAAACACAGAAAAACACCATAACAGTTTCTCATCAAAGGGAAAATGAAGAATTTAGAAGATAGCAGGTTTTGTTTTCACCGTTCGAGGGGTGGTCCAGTCGAATAAATGAACTCAGACTGTGCTGAAATTTCAGATCCCATGTCAGTATGAGGAGGTTCAATGTTAAAGATCGCCTGAAAAAACAAACCAATTGTAACACCATTACCATTGCAATACAAAGGAAAATGTCTTATATCTATCTAAAAACACACGGTACATTGTTTGCAACAATGATTCACCTTCAAAGAGTTCATAAATCTCTCTGCCTCATCGACTGACAAAAATCGCAACGCGAACTTCTGAACCTGCAAACAAGATACAACACAAGGGCACTGTGAGTTCTTCAACTAATAATATGTATCCATGTAGCCTAAAAAAGAAGCATTGCGGCTTGCCTCGCCCACGCAGTCTCGGTAGCTGATAAACACGGCTCTGGTACCCCTGGCAGGAAGTCCCGGGTTGCATGAAACGTGAGGCCAAACATACTGCAGCTTGGAAACATAGTGCTCCTCCTGCAACATGTTAAATCACAATCATTCGAAGAGTTGCCAGATGAAATCTTCGAATCTCAGCGAAACCGAAAAACTGGGGACAAAGAGAGTCTGGCCTAAATGCTCAAGCATTTTACGTATCAAAAAGGAAATAATCGAACACGAGTTAAGGAAACTAATGCGATCTTAACAGCTAATTAGTTAATATTTAACAGTGGACGTCTATCGAATACTTTGCCTGCAAGGTTACAAGGCTACAGTTCATGAGCTTCTCCTTTCGGAAACAAGCCAGGACGACGCCGTATGATTAATCTCCGGCAGAAGCATGCTATAAACAATCTAGCACTTACAAATTACAATTACTCGTTTTATTTATCATATCACAGACGGCATTTGAGCTCAAACGCCGTTTGGTTGCCGAGAAAATGCGCAGTGTACGTATGGAAAACAGGCCTACTTATTGAGTCCCCATTGTCATTGATTTTATCGGCAACCAAACGGAATCGACAGTTCAAAACCCCTGAGAGAAAGCGTGGCCTCACCATAACTCTGCCGGCGAAGCAGACGGTGAGGAGGACGTCGGAGGAGGAGTGATCGTGAGCGAGCTGGAGCATAGCCAGGGAGGAGGAGGAGGAGGAGACCCAGTTGCCAGCTGGAGATCGATTTCTGATCCTGGTGGACAGAGGAACGAGATCAGGACACGTGGAGTGGGCCGGAGGGTAGCGGAAGAAGCGGGAAAAATGGACCTCCCACCGCTCCCTGACGGCGGCGCCGGAAGTCGTTTTCGCCCGGTTCTTCCCTCTACGTTTCCTTGGCAAGAAAGCAAGAGCAGTGATGTCCCCCATTTGTTTGTTTCGAGGCTCTGTTGTTGGGTTTATGCTTTTGGCCCCTACGCAGCCGAATTGAAAACGAAACGGAGTGAAAGCAGAAGGGCAAGGGAGTGACTTGTGCGAGTGGTGGCAGTGGTCAGGCGTGAGAGTGCGTACTGGGTCGCCACGTTGATAAAATTTTCATTATAACCAGCATACGGAAGGTACATCACGTGTTTTTACATAAGTGATGAGAAATTTTACTTTTGAAATTATTAAATCTTTAACACACATATTCCACTATTTGTATAATAATACGTGATATACCATCTATTTTCCGATCACGCTGAAAATTTTCTCTATCACGTCTCTACGTTCTTTATAGACAACCATAAATTATTTACCGCAAATAAAAGAGTTTAATTTGTTAATTAACTAATTAGTAGGTGTTAAATCTTTTGCTTATTTTTTTCACAAGTAATAACGTTGGTGAGTTAATAATTAGTTATTATGAAAAAATAAATTTGTGGGAATCGACTAGCATCATGAGACGTAAACATATTTATGTTTGTTACTGCAGAGCATTATTTGCAAAATCTTATGCTTGTTTGCTTAATATATTTCTTTTGGAAACGTGTGAATTAGGCAAGCTAATTAAGAAAGTACGTTTATCTCTTTGTAGTTGAGTTCGAATACGATTAGTGTTGTAATTATTGAACCAAAATTTGGCCAAATGATTGAACGAGATCGAGTCAGTAAAAAATCTTAAAGGTGGAATGGTTTACCACCGAACAACTTGAGCAACTATAATTGTTGTGAACTTTGAGATATGAATGTAACTGAAATACGTAAATGACCATTAACCCAAAATACTTAAAAAAATAGTAATAAATCTTTTATTATTATTTAAAGGAGAAGAGGGATTTGAAACTATTACAATAATTTATGAGATAAGAGAATTTCAAATTTGAAATATATGGTAAAAACTCCACTTTATCGACATGCAAATAATAGCTCGTTTGAATGTGCTTTTAAAATGACTGAAAACACTTTTGGTGAAAATGTTTTTAGAACCAATCGTTAGTAAAAATGCAAGTAAATTGTAGGAAAGCACTTAAAGTACTTCATGGAATAAGCACATAACTAGTGTTTTTTTGCAAAAAAAACACTTTAAGTGCTTTTGGAACCTAAATACATTTTCTCTAAAAGCGCTTTCAATTATTTTAAAAGAACATCAAAACGAGTCCTAAATCTTCTCCTTCTCTATTTTCTAAAGCCATTTCCAATCGAAGGCTGGCTAGAGGGCTCATTTTAGCCCCCTGGCCTTTCAAGATATTAATATTTTAATGAACAATACATGATCATATTTGCCTCCATCTCCAACCGAGGGCTAGAGCTCGTTTTAGCCCTGTCACAAAAAATCGTCTTCAACCGATGACCAAGGGTCATAAGGCCAAACATAATTTATTATTTAAAAACTACAACTTAAATTCAAATTCAACGGCTAAGTACTGTAAAAAAACTACAACATAATTTATTATTTAAAAACAAACAACTTAAATTAAATTCAAATTTTGTAAAATAGAAGTTATAGGAAAAAGAATATAATTTAGAAAAAA